AAGGCTTCCTGATGGTGACAATGGAAGACCATGCTGGCACAATGTATGTTAGCACGGCTGCTTAGAGCTTCCAGCAGGGGTGCGTGTGGCAAGGTGACAATGCAGGAGCACAAGTGTTAGTCAGTTATCACCCCCATCACAGGAGTTACCTGAACTAGGACCCTCCTGGCAGAATCACTAATATAATGTCATTTTACAGCTTATGATATTTTAGTGGTGGGGTTAAGATTTATTTGCTGTGAACAAACTGTTCATTCTTCAGATACTTGTGCTATACGCAACATAATATCTGACTTTTTTATCAAAGTCTATCTGAGACCCTGACAATCAATCCAATTCTACTCCTTTGGAAGAAAACCTGATTGGTTGTCAGAGAACTGCGGCCATCTTCATACCTTAGCCTATCTCACGCTGAGACTTTATCTGTCTGCCATTATTTCTTACCATGTCAGCTGTAGGGGATAAGAGATTACAAGCACTGGTTTATAATGAAGGGGCCTGCATATGACATGAGTGCACAGCTGTGGACCAGGACCGGTTCCCACTCCTAGAAGCTTCAAGCCGTTCCCCTGTTCTAATAAACTCGAGCCGCAATACTTTGCTGTATATTGATGACTGATCTCCGCCTTTCTTACTATGACCAGGGCTGCTCTGCAGCTTTTGTACAGTTTAAAGATGTTAGGTTAATAAAAAAATAAAAAAAAAAAGCACAGCAGTCACAATGTGTTGGTGTATCTCTGCAACAAAATGCTTATTGAAACCAAAGAGTATAAAAAGCAGAAAAACACCTTTTAAAAGCAAAGTTCTGTTTTTATACAATTCCAGAAGATTTTTTTTACCCATACTGCAAAGTGAAGGAGGTGAGAAGTCTCCCAGTGGAGATGCTGATTATATTAGACACTTCCTAGCTAAATGCATATTATGGGTAACAAAAACCTTACATACCAATAGGTCCTCGCATAAACTAGATCCTTAAAGTGACACTAAATTTAGGAGTTAGATCTTAAAAATGTATTCAAGTACCTTTTAACTATTAACAAATGTATCTTATTTGTGTATCACTCGACTGTAGATCCTCAAATCTCTGAATTGGTGCTGACACTGTCCTTCCTTCTGGAGGGGGCTACTTTTGTTCCCCATGGTCCCTGTGTGTGTTGTAAAGTAGCCACCACTCCAACCTCCCTCCTGTGATGGACTACAATCTCATGTTTCGTTTACTCATTTGTATTGAGATTGTAGTCCATATGAGGTCCAGTATTGTTAAAGGAGAACTATGAGGTGAGTGCTTTTCACTCACCTCATAGTTCTAGCCGACCTGTGACAATGAGACTCGTCACAGGTCGGCTCAGTAGATGGGGAGGTGAGCGAACACATCCCGGCGGGTACAGCTGGCTCTGCCTCTGGATAGGCAGAGGCAGCTGTCAGTCACGCAGCTGGGCGGATCCAGACATAATTGTCGGGATCCGCTTCAGCTGCAGCACCTCAGTATACCACGAGCTGTAGCTAGCGGTATACTGAGCTAAGGGTGACGGGAGGAGGCTAGTTTGTGTCCTCCCGTTACCCTAAGGAGAACTATGGGGAAAAGCCTTAACCCCATAGTTCTCCTTTTAAAAAGGTACTTACTTGCATGCCTTTCTAAGATTTAATGCCAGAGTTTGTCACTTTAAGTTGGTCATACATCAGTGGGTGGCCCTGGCACTCTTCCACCTGGAATCTCCCCCAGACCAGCCTAATGGTTGAAGAAAAGAAAACCATAAAACAGGATATTGCCAGCTTAACTTTTCCAGAGACCGTGGAAATGGTAACCTTGCCCCAACAATGAGCAAACGCCATTCCAACTCCCCCCCCCCCTCCAACCTTGAGAGGACTCAGTTCCTG